TGTGTGTGTGTGTGTGTGTGTGTGTGTGTGTGTGTGTGTGTGTGTGTGTGTGTGTGTGTGTGTGTGTGTGTGTGTGTGTGTGTGAGTGCATGTGTGTGTGTACTGGTGTTTGAATGCATGGGTGACTACATATGTGTGTGTCAGTAATTGTAATTGGTTTTTTTTTTGTTTTTTTTAGAAGAAGAAGATAAAACTCCCAAATTTCTAACTGATGATGAGATATTTCCAGTGTTCCCAAAGCTAAGGTATGTTAAGTTTTGTCTTTTGCTTCATTATATTTGTAGTAAAAGCTAAACTTAATCTGTGGCATTCACATATATTATTTTTATATACAGATTATTATTGTGAACATGGCTGAAATTTTGAAGAAATGTTAATTTTAATTATTTATTTTATCCAGACTTAGCTGATTCATAACCTGAACGTGTACCAGCCTTGGTCTTGATTTGCAGTATATTCCTGTTGCAATTAGAAAAATAAGTGAGATCCAGACTTCCATTATTTTCTTGCCCCAGAAAATGATCATGATTGTTCAGATGTTCAACTACAAACTTACCAAAACATGTATTTGTCTTATTATGAAATTCACATCTTTTTATCCTCTTTCCCCCTGCTCTTTCTTTTGTACAGGAGGACAAATTCTATGCCCAATCTCTATGGGGATGATGAGGACTTCCTGTTTATACCGCAAGATTTCAATACAGCTATGGATGAGGTGAGTAGGAAATGTCGACCATATACATGCACACGCACACATTCTCACATGTGCATGTATATAAGCATGGTTTTGAATGCATCTGTGCACATTTGTTGGTGTAGGTCACTAGGAAATATAACACAGAGGCATTGCAAGTACATACAGATATGCACTTGCATATACAGGTAGATATTTTAATTATTAAGTAGATGATAAGAAAACATCACAAATAGATGCAACACTGCATACATGTGCATGCACACACACTGGCAAATACATACAGTTTTACACATTTTATTGAATAGATAATAAGGCATATTTATATATTTTGTTTTAACAATATATTTTCTCTTCTTTTAAGATTACAAAACAAATGAAACAGATCAAAGAAGCAAAACTTGGCAAGAAAACACCAGTTCAACAACTGCCAGAAGAAGTTATTGAGAGTGTATGTGGATGCTTTTTGATGATTTTTAATCTAGACAAGTGATATAACTAAATTATTTACAAAGATAACATGTGTTACTGTAACAGTATTGTTACAATAGAATAAAAACATTAAGCTTATTAAAGTTATCATGGTCTGCTTATTAATAATATATAACCAAATCTAAGATTTTTTGTTTTTGTACCTCATTATAAAGGTACTAATTTTCCTTTTCTTGCCAGGCCTTTTCAGAGGTGTATTAAAAAATTTTATTTTACATATTGTTTATATGTGTGTAACTGAATCTTTCTATTATGTATTCTAGGAGTCGGGTGCAAAGACTGGTGTTGCAAGGACAAGAAGTCCCACCACAGAGCAGAGGGTATATACCAGAAAACAGGGTAGGGACACTGTCTGATCTGATCTGATTAGAATATAATGTTTGTGGAATGAAATTGAAAACATAAAGTGACAGATGTTGCTAGATGTTTTGAAACTGAAACAATTTTGAGATAGGCTCAGAGGGTATGCCTTTGATGAAATTGCGATTTAAAAATGAAATAAAATGATTTTCTTATCAGTTATTATAAAATGTATTTTTTAGAAGTATATAATTACTGCTGTGTAACATCTACTATTACTACTGCTACTGCTACTTAAAATTTTTTTTCTGTGATGAATACATTGATTATGAATTATATAATGGTACAACAGGAATGCATATTTATTGGTGCTCATACTTTTTCTTTCAGAATATGATGACAAGCCCACTCTTGCAGAAGAGACTTTGGAAGCAGGGAGAAAATATGTCATGTACCCAAAAAGGTGACAAGCAATATTTATAGCTTTAGTCTTGAATTTTATAACTTATCGTGAGTCATATTATGAACCCCACTCTTTATTTGGACGCCCGTTAGATTTTTGAGTTTCATTATATTTGAATAGATACTTTAATAGATATATGTCTATTTCATGTGGATATCATTGTGAATGAGGTCATTACTATGTTGTGTTCATAGTAAAGTTAGGTACTTGATGCTGTTTTAATTTTTGATTTTTTTCTGTCATCACAATCAAAAATCTGGTCTGAATTTTAAGAATTATTTTCATTTCATTTATTGAAATAACCATTAATCTGTGGTTTTATCTAAGAAATGATATTATTTTTGCCATCTCAGTTGTTTCTGTAAAAATGGAATCAAAGAATCTAGAATTTGAAGTCATTTTTTACTGCATCCAGAAAGAAGAAGAAGATGGTGCCCCTGGACATGGCCAGACTGGAGGAGATAGAGAGGTTCCTGGCCATGCCTCCTGGAAAACTGGAGAGAACAGAATCACTGCCTAAAGTCAACGTGCCAGTAGAGAGGCTGCTACGAGTGCCTCAGTGAGTTGTAGCTCAGATATACTTTTACGTAAATATGGAAGAAGGAGATTCTCTGCTGAAGACAAATAATGTCACTGTTCTTAAATTATTTGATATAAATAAAATTTATTTCATATGACAAAAATATTGTTACTGTGATACAAGTTCTTACAGTTTTTATCAGCCTGGCACTCATTGCAGTATAACTGAATTTAGGTATATATTTAGGAACTTGTGTTATAGATTTCAGAAATTTTCCTTTTCTTTTATGTTATAATGTTTTTCTGAGATTTGCATCTGTTTTATACTGCTCAGTGTAATTGTTGTAAAATGAAAAAAAAAAAGATTTCACTAAGTGAAGAACCATGTGTAATTATATTGGATTATGTGTAGATGAAAAAAAAAACATTATGAAAGAAAGGTTTCACGTGAAATGATGCATTTTCCCCTACTAAACCAAACCAATCAATATTTTCATGCTTTGACTTTTATAGACATGTGAAAAACAAGCACAGAAGAAGTATACCAGATATACTGGATTTTGATTCCTTTGCTGAAAAAAGAGGATATAAGTAAGTTCAAAGTAGTTCCTTAATTTTTTATTTTATTGATTCATATGAAGCCATTGACTTAAAAGTTTCAGATACATAATTTCAATTGAAAAAAGTATTGAGAATTATATATTATGTCCTGAGAATCAGTGCCAATCAACATGCTTATGATAAATCTGAAATTATTTTAGAGGAGAAAACATAAAAACTGAAAAAAGTGAACATTTTATATACTTCAGAGTGGAGAATAAGTAAAAATGAAAGTGATTATATTGCCATCTTAGGCAAAAAAAAAAAGGGACAAAGAGAGTAAAACTAACCTTTTCATGGCATTATTCTTACTGTCACTTTTAGTGGAGAAGATGAAAGAGAATGGACTCGAGATATCTGGAATGCTTGGTTTGATGAGGTATTTCCTCCCACGCAGAGTGAGAGAGACGAGGATGAGGCCAGAGCCATGAGCGCCATGTCCAGCACCACAGACAGAAGTGTGCGCTCTAAGGGGTGAGTGGAACATTCTGAAGAGGGCGTTTTTGAAAATCTCATTTTGAAAAGCTAAGGCTGGTTCATGTGATTTAATTTTGACTGAAATATATTTACTTTTGTGGAACCTTCTCTTATACACTTAATTCTTTAAGACTACCATTATATTTTGTGCCTATTCTTGTTAAGTAGTCAAAATAGGTATTAGTCTTATTTATTTACATATTTATTTTCTCCTCCTGCCAGGCATGCCAGTGTTGTAAGCACCCACATCTCAGAGGTGATCGATGAAATTGAACCACTGGCAGATACTGAAGAAAATGCAGAAGCTATTTTAGTAAGCCCAGTGTACAGTATGCTAAACAATGTGTGACAATATTTTGAATTTAATATTATAATGTGATTTTTTTTCCTTTTTTGAGAAGCGAAAATTTGATGTTTTTTATGTGTGGATTTAAAAGTTTAAAGTTAATAAGCATGGTGTATTCTTATCATACAATACTAACCAATAAATAATTGAAGCAATGTTTCAACATCCTTGTTCATCTATTTTCAGCTGCTCCAGGATGAAGTTGAGAAATTAAGTGAGCTTATAAACCAGAGCCCAACTCCCACTGCCTTTGATCTCTGCAGGAGGGGGGCCATATATAGGAAGGTAAGGAATATGTGTTGTTAAGTCAGTCATTAAAATTTAAAAAATAAGCTTTCTTCATTATTTACAAAAACAATTTATTCATTATTTAATTAATTTATTTTTTGTGTGTGTGTTATTGGCAGTCTTAAAGAAATTAAGTTAAATTTTATCACTGTGAGGACAAATTTGGACCTCCAAAAATAAATTTTAGGTAATGCCATGCCCTCATATAAAAACAGCTGTAATGACTTTTTTGGGCAGCCAACATGAGCGTAGTGCAACATGTGACAAATCCTAAGTCTATACATTACATTTTCAGCTTGGTCAGATTAAGTTGGGCCTAGAGGACCTGGACAGAGCGATAGCCTTAGAGCCTATGTTACTGGATGCTTACTGGCACAGGCATCTGCTGCATTTATTGAAGGGGAAGAAAAACGATGCACTGGAAGATCTGAACTTCCTATTGCGGCACAGCAAGCAGCATGCTGGGGCTTACAGGTCAAGGTGAGAGAGGGATACTAGTAAACGTTGTGGTGACCAAGATATTTGCGTTTTTCATATATTATCCTGTCTTATAGAAAGCTAATTATATGATATTTTGCCAAATTAAATTTCTGGTACATTTCAGAGCTGAAATCTACCGAGAGTCTGGGGATGTAACCATGGCGATAGTCAATTTCAATCAGGCTATAAAGCTTGACCCCAATGACCATGAGGCTTACTATCGGAGGGCAGAGATGTATGAAAAGGTAACAACTATTGGAAATGTGTTTTCTCATGTATTAGGGTGCATGCACATGCAAGTGTGTATGAAGAGGTAGCAGTGCATAGTAGAGTTTTGATTGGGTGTATGCTTATGTACTCACACATATACATATGTGTTTAGATATGTATGTATTTGTATCATTACAAATATGAGGTGAAAAAGCTCAGTTCTGTTGTCTGTATGTTTTAGAGTGGAGAGATGCGTCTAGCATTAGAGGATTATGCCATTGCTACCAGACTGGCTCCAGAGAAGACTGAGGCCTTGTTCAAACACGGACTCTATTATTTCAACAGTCAGTAAGTAGCCATAATCTTAAAGATTGTGATGCACTGTTATTAGTATATTTCCATAGATTGATTGTACATAGTAGATGTAAAAATTTTGAAACTTGATTTCTTTTTATATTTAATAGATTGATGGTACTGAATTCATGGGCATTTGGGAGACCCATCTGCTTCATATTGTATACCATTGATAATTTGACTATTTCATATAGATATTTCATTTGAAATATCCTTTTTTATTTCAGAAACTGGCAGCCTTGTATAAATGACTTTACAGACCTACTAAAGGTGGAACCAAACAATGCAGAGGCCAGGACATATCGTGGACGCGCTTTTGCCAAAATGTCTCAGTGGACCCCAGCCATAGAAGACCTCAGTGCTGCCATTCATCTGGATCCCAATAACAGTGTGGCACATTATCATAGGGGATGCCTTCTCAGAAAGTAAGGGGTCTCTTCTCTGTACTCCATCTGACATCTTGATAATATTTGGGGCAAAGGCTAGAGTGTTGTTCATTAAAATATGATTAGATTCGTCATGAGTTCTAGAGAGGAAAATATTTGCAAAATTCTCAGAAAATTGTTTTAGTAAGTTAACTTTGCAATTGTCCAGCATAAACTTGAATACAAGGGTTAATATTGGCCCATAATTTAAGCTGAAAGTATATTGTAACCACTGAACTGTCTTCCAGATTGCAACCAAAGAAAGCTCTTCAAGACCTGAGTGTATCTATTATACTGGATGATGGGGACTCCAATGTGATGGCGTATTTCCATCGAGGCATTCTCTATAACTCAACTGGAAGGTACTTGGCAATCTTGTTTTTAATTTTAAAATTTATTGTTGATTTTTAAAAGTACCCAGCTCAATCTCTAATAATATGACACAGACAAAGATTGTACTAGGTTGAAATGGAGAAACCTTATATTATTGTACCTTTCTATGATTACCATTATATTATAGTATAGATCTGTTATTTCCATGTGTTATACCAGATATTTTATAGATCTGTTATTTCCATGTGTTATACCAGATATTTTATAGATCTGTTATTTCCATGTGTTATATTATTGTACAGGCCAGAAGATGCCATCCCAGACTTTGAGACTGTCCTAAAACTGGACAAGGACATCGCCAGTGCCCATGTCAACCTGGGGCTCATCTATATGACACAGCTGGACAATGTTCAGAAGTAAGTAGGGACTTTCTTTGTGGTATACTTTTCTGGATTTTCAAGCCCAATATAATTTTCCTCAAGAAAAAAGTAATTTTCTCTTAATCATAAATCATTTATTTATTTTACTTAATTATTTATTATTTTATTAGTTATGGTGTCTAAGAATGGCAAAACTTACAAAAAATGTCATTTTGGAATAGGTGAGATGTTTGAGTATTCTGGTGCAGAATTTATGCATAATTATAAGAACAACATATTTTTATTGCATTACACATTTACATCAAACTCAGATGAATGGCAAACCCAATCAGTAAGAAATTGCATAAGTGTTTTTGTATATGAAGTGCATTCTTTGACTGATTCATAAACCATGCCATTTTCTTGTTTTCAGTGCTATAAGGAAGTTCTCTGCTGCCATTAAAGTGGATCCCACCTATATACGAGCTTATGTCTGCCGTGCTGAGGCCTATCATAGGATTCATGATGTAAGGAACAGTTTGTAATATAAAGATTCATGGGTTCCTGATTATTTCAAAATATGTTTTCCTTTTCTAGCAGTTAAAGTGTTGAAATAGCTTTGTAGGTGAAAAATCACCTAATTACTTTCAGTATTTTGATCTCCAGAAATGATATAATATAATATAATATATAAAATATAAAAACACAATTATAGTTAATAGCAGTTTTGTTCAGATATTGATACCGCATAAATATCTGTACAGTTACTATATTAATTTCATACCACGGTTTCTTGTAATTGTGGTGTCTGTTAATTGTGCACTCTCAAGTGCAAAGATTTTATAATGTTTAAAACAACATAAGTTGATTTTAGACATTATATAATGCTTGCACTTTGAGAATGCGTGTCTCAATTTGTTGTTCCTTTTTTCATTCCAGCATAGAAATGCCCTGTTAGACTTCACAAGAGCCATTCATCTGAAACCAGATACACATCACTATTATATGTACAGGGTGAGTAGAAATCTCTGGCATTCAGATTCAGGGATCATATGGGTATTTTGGAAGATTCCCACCCCGAGTTTTAGACTGTAATATGGGCTTGCTGACAGTAGAGAGGATCAGTTTTCAGCGACCTTTGACCCTCAGGGTGGGAGATTCCTCAAATTTAGGGAAATTTGATTTACCCATTTGCATCTATGAAAAACTTGGATATGTCTCACTTTTTCATGTATAAAATGATTGAAAATCCACAATTTTATAGTAAATATATATATTAATCTAATTTTCTGCTTCACGGAAAGCATGTACAGTTGACTACTTGACATAATGTTTCCAAAGAATCATTAACAAGTTTTTACTTAGAGAGTTATTAGTTCATTATTATATTTGGTATACACAACATATCATTTTTTTATGAATGAGAAAGTTTTTCACAAAAAGTAATTTTTTATCTATTTTGCTTTAGGGTCAGCTTGTCCTTGAGATGGGAAACCTGGAACTGGCAGCTTTCTGTGTCAGGTAACTTCATAATTGGTTATATAAACATCTCTATGGTAAATCTAGTGAAAAGTTACTGATTTTTGTTTCTGTTTAACTGTGATATCTGAAAACGTACTAAGAAATGAATACCTTTTTTATATATGGTACATATAGACATCACCTGCATAAGTTGTCGCTGTTGCCACCACGCAGTTTTAACTGTTAATGAATTAAATGGTTTAGTAAATGATGGCAGAGCACCAGTATATCATCAGTTTAAACTTATGTCATCACATTTGTGCAATATTCTTTAAAAGAGGTTTTTGTGGTGTGTATATGGGATGATAGAATAAAATTATTCTGTACTCAGAGACTAAATAACATCAGTCAAACATGATGATTCAGTCCACCACCTAAGGTCCTTGGTTACATGAATGGTGATTTTGTGCCGTAGGTGGTTGTCCAATCATCATGTTTGACAGATGTTATTTATGGTAATGTGCCATCTGTTTTGTACAGAAGAAATTAACTAAAATAAGGGAAAAGACCGTAGTAATTTTATTTTGAATATAACATTATTTACTGGATAATTTCAGACATGCATCAGAGTTGAATGCTGGTTTGGGTCAGAGCCCCATGCAGCAGGCTGTGGTACAGTCCTTCCTCAAGAACTATGACAAGGTCAGTTATGTGTCACCCAAATATGAGAATAATCCAGGAAAAGATGTCGGTTCATAATTATTTGACTTTAGAAACTTTTAAATTGAAAGTTAGAATTGTAGAACATGTAGAGTTATGGGAAAAGTTTTGATTAAATTTGATGTGATAGTTTAGACATTTCACTGTTGTCTGTCTATAATCTGGATACTTGCATGACTCCTGGTCGACAATAATCATTGTGTGAACACAGAAATTGTATGTTAATTGGTAGTATGTAAATTGCATTAATTTATATCTTTGTTTGTGTGTTTGTTCATTTTCTAAATTTTATTTTAGGCAATTGGAGCACTGGAGTCTGCCACCAGACAGAAGCCAGTGGCTTCCTTATTCACCTTGCTGGGTAAGACACAAATGAAAGCCAAACTGTGGAGAAATGCCATTGGGAACTTTGATAAGGCACTGGGCATTTTGGTAAGTATTTGGTGGAAAAAAGGGGAATTGCTCATGTCTTTAAAAATGTTTATAGTGAGACAGTTAAAATGTTTTGTTGTGTAAATTTAATTAAAATAAAAATTCAGTGAAAATATTAGATATGCTGAGATAGCAAATACATTGATTGAGGTGTGATCAGACAGTGATAATCATTAAAGTTTAAAACAAACTAAAGATGAAGATGAACTTATGGATGTAAATATTTCCTTAAAAATATAATTTAAACATTGCCACTGCATCTTTTTTAACAACTCAACTTTTTTGTTATTTTTAGAAACCTTGGTCTGATAAAGACTCATGGCCACACGAGGCAGCTGAGGTGCACTATCTGATCGGCATGTGTAATATGGAACTGCGCGGTTATCTTGAAGCTCATGAAGCATTTAACAATGCCATCAAAGTGGATGGCACTAATGCTGAGGTAAGAGACTGTAAACGAAAATTACTTGCAAATTTCAAACACCAATCAATTCATCCCAGGTAAGATCATTTTTGATCTTAAAAGCAGTCCGTGTCCATGTTAAGGCCGGTGATAGGGTTAAATACGCTTAAAATCATGTTTTTGAGTTTTTCGTGTGTTTATATTAATCAAAAAAGTATCTAACGTTGGATGTAATAATTTTTAAGAATTTGCATCGCAAAATGTGTCTTTTGATGAGTTTTTCAACCGGCACGCACCCCAGTCAGGCTGACAACTAAGCCACGCCTCTGTTACTAAGGGCCGTTGCCATGAGGGGGTCGGATCACAGTTAATGAGTTATAAGCCGATTACGTGTGCGGTAATAGGTCATAAGTCTTACATCAGCTTAGCAGCGAAGAAGACTAGCTAGTACACTATGGGGAAGAGAAAAGTTCGTGTTAAAAGTCCATTTCCTGAGGAAAGAAAGAAAATTTTGGACCTATGCGTGGCAGTTGGGGAAAACCGGTCCTATTTGTTTAGACGGATGACTGATTTCTGAATACCTAATAAATGGGCAAAAGAGTTAATCGAATCGTCTTAATTAATTGACAAATGAAAGAAAAATCGATAAATAAAAAAACGCTAAAAAGGATACTTTTAGCCTAGCTAATTTTTGCAACAGGAAATGATTGTTGGTCGCCGTTTGCAAAAGGTAAATCTAATGTTGACAAAATAAAATTTTATTCTCCAAGATATGATATCATGGAGCTTGAGAGACACGCGAAAAATTTTTATGTGAATGGCCAAACGAGAGAAATCCAAGCAAGGTTTGACAGCATGATTAAAACAATAAAAATAAAAACGCATGTTAGCGGCTTTGCATTTTGCGATGTTTGTAGAAAAACAATTTCAAAATCACTGATCAAGCGGGAAGAAATGTATCCAAAAATGAAAATCACAAAAAGACCCCGAGAATAGTCAAGACTAGCAGGTAAAAAGCAAATAGGGTTTAAGTGTCATGTGTGTAAAAATAAAATATTTATTCAAAAGCCTTCTCTCAGCCACTTTTATCGCTGATTCTAATGCTGCTGAGCGTCTCCCCTTTATCTTAGCTGGCATTTTGAGAAATGCCGCTATGAAGTAAACACTGGATTTTTCCGTTGATCTGACGATTACCAAGTGTCGTGCAAAATAATACTGTAGCGTTACCCGTCAAAAAACTCGTATTANCGCTAAAAAGGATACTTTTTGCCTAGCTAATTTTTGCAACCGGAAATGATTGTTGGTCGCCGTTTGCAAAAGGTAAATCTAATGTTGACAAAATAAAATTTTATTCTCCTAGATATGATATCATGGAGCTTGAGAGACACGCGAAAAATTGTGATGTGAATGGCCCAACGAGAGAAATCCAAGCAAGGTTTGACAGCATGATTAAAACAATAAAAATAAAAACGCATGTTAGCGGCTTTGCATTTTGCGATGTTTGTAGAAAAACAATTTCAAAATCACTGATCAAGCATGCAGAAATGTATCCAAAAATGAAAATCACAAAAAGACCCCGAGAATAGTCAAGGCTAGCAGGTAAAAAGCAAATAGGGTTTAAGTGTCATGTGTGTAAAAATAAAATATTTATTCAAAAGCCTTCTCTCAGCCACTTTTATCGCTGATTCTTGTGCAGCTGAGCGTCTCCCCTTTATCTTAGATGGCATTTTGAGAAATGCCGCTATGAAGTAAACACTGGATTTTTCCGTTGATCTGACGATTACCAAGTGTCGTGCAAAATAATATTGCAGCGTTACCCGTCAAAAAACTCGTATTAACACAAGTGACGGACACTTGCTCTCGACACAGTTTTATCTGATCACTTTGCCGATAACAAAGAAGGAATCTCTCAGGTAAAATTACTCGATTGCCGAGGAAGAGCCATTGAAACGTTCAAATGCAACTTCACACCTCTTTAATTGCGGTTAAACGTAATCGCCTTTGTTAGCGCTTCCTTCTACATATCCTTGACACCCTACGGGGCATCACAAGGCTAGGGCCCTCTCCAGAGCTGTCAATCAAAATGGCGGCACGCTTACATGCCTAACGAGTGGTCGGAAAATGTAACAAAAGCACGATTTTCTGCCCCTTCAAAGCACCCAAACAAAATATTTTTAGATGACAATAAGCAATGGTTCCATCTGATCGTATAACCGATAACAGGTAAATTTGCCAGCTAAGCATTTGACTAATAAGCCCTGTTAACCAACCTGTGAACGTTTTTGGCTGTTTTAACAGCTTTCTATATTGACGAGATAAGTGAATCGCTGCCAAGTATATCTCACTATCTGAGCAACTGATCGTTACAAAAGTTGCACCTATTGTTGTTAGGAATGTGGACTACAGCATGATATCAGGGGTTTAAGAGGAAATTGTTTGTTTGAAAGTTATCGCCTTTTGAAGTGAATAACCCATTGAAATGTGGGCTGATTTAACGTAAAAGATGATAAAATCAAAAGTAAATAGTTTAAGACAATTCCCTGGTACCGCGCTGTAGTGCTTTCACCCAGCTTTATGAGGCCTTTTGAATCACTTGAATAGCTGTCTTGGTTATAGAGAAAATCCCAATACCGAAAACGGCATTTTTCCCCTCAAATTGGCGCCAGAGCGTCATCCGTTGGACACTGTACTTAATCCCCGTCTTTAATTGGCCTTTTGGGAAGTTTGTTTTAATTTTTTATAAAAACTTATAAGCCCAGGGCTTTGTTTCTATGACTTTGGTCCTTTTACTATCAGTCACCTTAATCCGAGTACGGTAAGACCTGAAAGACATCTGTTAAGTAGAAAGCATTTTTCCATAGACCGATATCGGATTTTGGAGAAGGTGGGGTCCAACCTCCAGGAATTAGAATAACAACCTAAAAGAGATCTTTACAAATTTGTAAAACATTCAAATGTTGATTTTTAGAATGTCAATAATTATTTGATGAAATATCAGATTATATAGAAAGAGAATGAGAAACATACGGTTTGTTGATTTTCAGGTCATTTACACCTTATGCCGTATCATGTGTTATATTGTGTTATGAGAAGATTGGGCGCTCTGCACAGCAACCTGAAAATATTTGAATCCTATCTGTGACGTATATGTAAGTACCCCTGGTATCTAGCATCTTAAACTTTTTTCGCCATAACCCTCAGAACAGATGCTCATTTGTATGAAATCTCCACACCATCACATTAGTAATATGACGAATTTACCAATATAACTGAAGGTTCTTTTCATAGAAGAGGAATGGATATTAGAGTCTATACGGTGAGGGCGGGTTTGCTTCGACTAGGTACGCTGAAACTGGTCAGGCTGCCCCTGGGGTGGACGATAATATAAAGCTATTTCACATTGTAATTTCTTAAACCATTAGAGTTAGGAAGTCGATTATACCAAAGCATTCGATAGAATAGACCATACCCTGCTTTATCAAAAACTGTCTGAATTAGGTATCCCAGGAATTATTTCAAACTGGATTTACAGCTTCTTAACTGAGAGGAAACAAAGTGTGAAGATAGGCAGTGTGAAATCAGACTGGCAACGCATTAATGCAGGTGTACCACAAGTCACAAAACTTGGTCCAGTTTTATTTGTCATTATGATTAACGATCTGAGCACCAAATGTGACACATTCAAATATGTAGATGACACCACAATTCTAAGCTACGGGAATACCAAACTGCAGGACAATCTCCCTGATGCAACAACAGAACTCACTCTCTGGTCCCATGCTAATAAACTAACAATAAATACTACCAAGACCAAAGAGATCATATTTGATTTCTCCAAAAAAGGACACAAAACTACACCCATACTAGTAGATAATCAAAGGATTGAGAGAGTGGGGTCTGCTGTCTTCTTAGGGGTAAGGATCAGTAGTGATTTGAGCTGGGAAGGTCACATCTGTGATATTTGTAAAAAAGCAAGTAAAGGATACACAATCTTAAGCTTCTGAAAAGATCGGGTATTCCAACCATTGAACTTGTAAGCTTTTATACATCAGTAATCAGACCTACATTAGAATATGCATGTCAGGTGTGGCACCCAGGTCTTACACAACAACAAATTGATAAAACTGAATCCATCCAGATTAGAGCATGTAAGATTATATTCCCAGAGCTGTCCTATGATGGGGCACTTGAAACATGTAAACTTATCACTCTTGCTTGTAGAAGAGATGAACTATCTAAAACATTATTGCATTACATGTACTCTGAAGGACACAAAATCCATCATTTGCTACCAGAGATAAATGAAAGTTCCTACACTTTGCACCGGGTTTATAAGTACACTGTGCCAAAATTGAGGACTGTACGATCGTCAAAAACTTTTATCCCATGGGCTTTATCAAATTTTAAGAACTCAGGTTTTTATGAATTTTTAATGTGTATCGAATCATTTTAACACTTACAAGTATATTTTAAGATTGTGCATCTCACGACTATTTGTTTTTATTGTAAAATCCAACTTTTTAAGATGCAAATAAATACATATTATTATGAAACGTTAAGAAACATTTTGTCCGGCATGTGCAAAGGCACTTCGGGTTTTTTTTTCTTTTTGTAAATTGGGTGAGTGGTAGTCCCTAGGGGTGGTTGATTGTGTTTTGTACATCGCGTTTTTCTCTTTATCTACTTTCATATCTTCAGACTTAGGAAATAAAAACGTTGGGATTAATACACTATCGTAAGAAATGTGCATGGGCACTTCGGAATTTTATTGTGACATGGGGTGTGGTCGTCCCTGGGGGTGCTTAATTCTAATTCTACATCGTATTTTCTGCTATGTTCCTTTAGACAATATAAGTTAGGCACGTAAGGATTGAAAAACCTGTCTTTAGGGGAGTGTATGGATCCTTCTGGGGTTTTGGTGACATTAATTGTGTGTGGCCGTCCCTGGGGTGGTTGGTTCCCTTTTTACAACGTAATTTCTGTCATCTACCCTTAGGTTACCTTTGGAACTTATATACTTATCTTTAACGACGTGCATGGGCAAATCGGAATGATTTTGTAAATTGGGGTGTGGTCGTGTGGAGTGCTTGGTTTATACTTTACAGCGCTTTTCCTGCTATCTACCCTTACGCCTTTAGAATGAGGAACTTGAAACCTTCCGCACTGATAAGCTTGCCCTTGAGGATATCCAGGTCCTTCGGGAATGTTAGTATGATTTGGGATGTGGCTGCTCCAGGGGATGGTTGATTTTATTTTTCACATATATACTGTAGTTACTTCTTCACATACTTATTTCTACCTGTACCCTTGGAGTAAGGAACATGAAACGTTGGGGATTGATAAACCAGTCACTTATTATTAATGTGCATGGGTCCTTGAGAAACGTAGGGAACAGCAGCAGCACACATAGCACCAAACGCACTTCCAGCCGTAGGCATGATAGGGCGAAGAATTCAATTAAAAACTCATTCAAGGCCTCACACACTAAGAAATCCTAGCGTTCAACTATCCGTTATGCCTTAATACAAAACAAACATGTTAATTATAAAAAAATAGTAATTAACATGAGTGTCACTATACAGAGGCTGTGCACAAGGATTCCTGAAAGTATGGGGTCTTGAATGGGTTTAGTGTTATGTGCTATTAAATTGACCTACATTCAAGCATACCGCTGAGAGTCAGTTATTAAGTGCTGTCTGCTGCTCTCTTTGTATTTCTCCTTCCTTCTTCCTTCCTGTTTTCTGACATTGTATTCAGAGCATTAAGTCCACCTTCAATTTCCCCGACCTTGATTTCCTACCTTTTATCTCATTTTTTCTTGGTCTCCATCGCGTTCTCCATGTACGTCAGCCGGCGGTCTGTTACATCTAACTTTCCCAACCGTGCATTTAACTCGTCAACCTTTCTAGTAAGATTTCCAATCATTCCATACAAGTCTCCCGGTTGAGGCACTGGTGAAATAAATCCCTGGAAATGTCCCTGTGGAGAAAAGTGCAAAAACCTTGTGGTTGCGGTGCTTGACTCATCGTTGAGCTCACACGTGGTATTGGCGTTGAGTGATTTGTTGTCACCTGTATCTTGTTGGCATCTCCACTGGTATTCTTTTTTTTTTTTGTTTTTCCTTTTGTTGTTTTTCTTCACCATGGTATACGTGCATAACATAATTCATCATACATCATACTACAAAGATGATGAGGGAGAATCCTTATGAAGAGGGAGAATCCTTATGACGAGAGAGAATCCTAATGTAGAAGACCGCATTCATCCACCTCTCCCACGACCGGAACCGTTGCCACTCTTTTTTAAATTTACAGTCAATAAGTACTTGTCTTTTTTTAAATAAAACCTTGTGCTGGGTCATTATTGAATGGCATTTGAATGGTATTCTAACTGTACTTTGACTGCATTCTAAATATTCTCACGGCATTCTCGAGGGGGAACCGAACTGGCAAGTCACTTAAATCCCGCCAGAATGTTTCGAATGTGCCTCGAATGAGCTGGAATCCTATTTCAGCCAGCAATCGAACTACACTCGTACGGCATTCAAATTGTATTCTAAATATTCTGACTGCCCTCTGACAGCATTATCGATAACCCAATTATATTCGAGCTCCATTTGAGAGCTAATACACTCGAAATGTGCACGAATCATTACATTCAAGCGCATTCTGAGTATTCCAACGGTAATATTACAAGAATTTAGGTCAATTTGAACTTTCTATCCGAATGTGGTGCGAATTTTGAAAATTCTTCATTCCGGCTCATTCTGCTTGATTACTGCTGATTCCGAATAAGTGTGACGGGGCCTGAAAAATATGTCTTCTTCGAATTTTCAAAACTTGCACCACATTCGGGAAGAAATATCAAATTCTTGTAAGAATACCGTCGAAATACTCAGAATGCACTTCGAATCTGCCTGGAATTATTCGTGTACATTCCGGATGTATTTTTCACGAGAGAATCAACCAAATCAGCCAAAATGTGGCATGGTGGGGGGTCGGCAGATTTAACAAATATTTTCTGTGTTTGATAACTGTTACAAAAGATGTTGAAAGCACGCTTTAAAAAAATTCTTTTTTGAAAAATTAGATATTGCCATCTGAAATTTGGGGTCTACTGACTACACAAAATATCGTGAAAAAGTAATGGAGGTTTTCTTTTAAATGCCAGGAAGGATTTGACATTTCAGCTTTAACTTTTCCTTTTATCTAAGAGTCCCTTCAGATGATGTGGGACTAAAATCTCAATCACGTTGCTATAGTAACGAACTTGTCCCGTAAAATGAGGGACCAAAATCAAGGTCTAAATGTAGCACTCACCAATTGGCAAATTTCGCCTTACACGGCGTCGAATTTGAATAAAATAAGGCAATTTTTGAACAGTTAAGGACTTGAGCTTTGTAATCACGCAATACAAAATACTGCACCTCGTCAGCATACGTAGGAGTGAGCGTCTTAGACTTCTAAACTCTAGAATGAGGGGTGTGAGCGGTGAGTTATGCAGTGGTTCATTTCTATGGTGCTGTTAAAAACTTCTGATTTTTATTAATCGTACTTTTTTGTTTATATTTATACAATTGACAATATTCTAAATAGTTTTTCCGAATGATTAACGTCGTTGTAATTGGTTTCAAGACAAATAGAATAGTTCGAAACTTTCGTCTATAACTCTGCGTGCTTCCTCAAAATTAACATGGCGGAAGGATGTGGACATCGGCAGGGGATGGAAACGCACTACTGATGTGATTATGACGAGCCTAACCGTCAGCACCGGATATTGGTTTGTGTCCTTGAGGGACAATTTTGTTTTTTAACAAATGTTCACTTGTCATCGAGGTTCTTGTTCAAGCATACAGACTGGTGTCTACTGGTACTACTAGTGGCTTCATTAGTAACGTTCCCACAATACATGGTTTTCTGTCTGTTTCATTATTGTAGAAGTAATGCTGTTTTTTTTTTTTTTTTTCACTTTTCAGCATATATACAACACTGTAAACACATTTCAAGGAAAACCGATAAGCCTGTTTTCATGAAACTCACAGGAGTAATCAGTCTTACTAAAACGCAGGTCAAGTTCGAAAATCGGCATGGGCCACTATTTTAGTAGTTATGCTGTTTTTTTTTTTTCACTTTTCAGCCTTTATGCAACACTGTAAACACAATATGAGAAAAACAGATAAGCCAATTGTCATTAAACTCACAGGAGTGGTCAATGTTACTAAAACGCAGGTTGAGTTCGAAAATTAGCATAATCGGGCCATCATTTTAGAAGTTATTTTTTTTCACATTTCCTCAGATTCAATTCTTAGGCATGTTAACAGTCTTATTATTTAACTAATAAGATACGTAAAAATGTTTGCTTGACATTTCCTGCATCTTTACAAGATTTTTAGTTGATTATGTAAAAATGATGGTAAACATGTTATCGTGTATTGTGTAATAAAGTTTCAAAAATGGAAATAAACTCATATCATTGCAGTTTGTCAGATTCAATCATTCACTATGTTCAGAATTTCAGAATGGAGGAAATTGGACATTTAACTCTTTTGTATTGATATTTTTCACATATCATCAATTTTCTTAGTTGATCATATAAAAATAGCAGCAAACTGTTAATTTTGTTTTATGTTAAAAATTGTTAAAAATGAAAAAAAAAAACATTTCAGAACAGTGCTGTCTTGTTTACATATTGGCATTTTAAAGGTGTGACTTTGAAGTTCCACGGGCTTGAAGACCTTTGCTAGTCACATTTTCTGAATATCCATGATACTAATATTTTATTATTAAAAATTGGTGGTCATTATGCTGTTAAATATTATGTAATATTGCATCAACATTGAAGAAAACACAATTTCTGGTGCTGCTGCCATGATGACCATTATGGGAAAACCATGTTACTTATGATTGTCAAACTTTCAGAAAGGAAACACGGGACTGAAATGCAGCAGAAGTTGGAAAAGCAGTCTAATTGGCTTCTTTTTCTGGAAGTTATACATGTTAGTGAAATTTTCATTTTTATCGTGTTGGCATATTCATTGTGGGACTCAGAGCTCCCATGGACATGAAGCCGAATGGTAATCAAATTTTCTACATGTCCATGTTATTTATAGTCAATAATAAAAAATTGGTGATAATTATTCTGTAATTTATTATGTACTGTTACATTATGCAAAAATCTTTTTGCACTGCTACTACAAACATTATGAAAAGAAAACTGTGTTAATTATTATTATTTTTTTAACTTTCAAGTATGACTCTAAGGATGGGCATGCAGTTCAAATTAGAAAGCCAGTTGGGTTATCATTTATTATTGAATTTATGCAATTTTGTGTGAAATTTTCATTTTTCTCATTCTGGCATTTTCAAAGTGTGAACTTGAACTCCCATGGGCCTGAAGCCTTATGCTTGTTACACATTTTACTTACATTGTTATTACCCGTTGAGCATAATTAAAATTTGGTGTAAAATTTGATGTATTTGCAGTTAAAAGGACACAAAAGAGAATTTTCGCGCCAAAATTGAATTATCCCGGGGTAAATAGTATTTTTCCGCGATTCACCAACCTTTAATCCATCATTCCCGGCACTCGCCATCGCTCTGTAACATTTTTGCAAAATACAATAAAAGAAAACCTCCGCTTAAGCGGAGGTTTACCAAGAACCACCTCCATTTTCATACTCGAGCTCTCTAGACTTCCGGATATCGCGAGATTCTCGTATTGCGACCTAGTTAAAACCAGTTCAAGCTGCCGGGAAAAGTCAACATGGCACAGGAGGCTCAATTAGTTGAGACTCCATCGAAGAAGAGAGGAAAGATAACTAAAAGAAAAAGGAAACACCCTTTACAAAAATCAACACCAGAAAAAAATGCGTAAAACAGTGTATCAGCAAATGTACGACAGGCAAACAATAAACACTGGCGAGGAAAAAGGCAGATGAAAACCTAGCTGCTTGGGTGGCCATGGATACGAAGGATCGCCTGGCCGTGAAGTATTTACTGGATTTGTGAGTACCATTTACAATAATGTTTGAGATAAGACACCAGTGAATATATTTATTGAGCACAGAGATTAATGTTTATTTACGTGTGTTCGTTGTATTTCTTAAAGATTCAGTCAGGCTCGTCTGCCAAAATATGCCATGAAATTGTAACTAATATGAGTGGTATCTATGACAGAAATTGCAAGTGTAGCTCATATGTCGACTCTGACAGGTTTTGGGTTAGTTTTAAGGGCAAAGAAAGTTTAAATAGAGACATGGTGGGAGATACTAGTCTCATTACATGTACATTACAATGACCGAGGCGAATTTTTGACTTACCGAGGGCACATTTCTTGTGCCTCTAACATCTAGGCATACAAAACACAGTAATTTAGACGTATGACCAAGATGCTATTTCTTTAGGCATGTAAATCCCAAAATGAATGTGCAGAAGCTGTTATTGTATCTAAGTTTAACTCAATGTTAAATGGCATGTCAAAATATCTTTGAGTAGTATTTTGATTTTATATTCTAAAGACAATTTGTCTCCTTTTTACATTAAAAATAAATAAATAAATCAGAAAGGGGATATTGCATGTTTATGTTTGGTACATCTCTCTAATGTGTTAAATAGTCTAGAGTAATAATATAGATCATACAATTTTTAACTTTAGAGTCCAACCAGTATTTCGGAGATTAAACCAATATGAAGTGATCAAGAAACTTCAAAATTAAGTTGTAGTTAATACTAGTGCAGTTGAAGATGACAGTCTAGATAATTTAAGGTGATCATATTGAGAAAAATGGCATTTATACTTATTTCAGTTTAGTTATATACTTATTTCAGTTATGTTTTTACATGATTTTTCTCAAACTTGATTATCTTAATTAAATGTACTGTTGCTTTTTTTTGTTGCAGTATCAAGGTAACTTTTTCCTATGGGATGCCTGAACTGGAAGAAGTGCAGATGGAAGAGGAGGAAGATGCTGAAGAAGAGGGAATTAAAGGATCCTGATGATCCAACATTGGACTAAAACAGGTCTTTGGAGTAAGCAGAATTTTAATAAGCTGATATTCACTCATCATACATTAGGCATTATAGGTGTATGATTACACTTTTATCAATTTTTTTACAAATTGGCAACACATAATGTAAACATAATGCAAGACTCTATTTCCTCCGTCAACTGAAACGAGCTAAGCTTTACCAAAGTATTGTGCGCTCAATTCTAGAATATGCCTGCCCTGTGTGGCATCCAGGACTAACTACCTGTATAGAGCAATGCAAACTCTTAGAGACTGACCAAACTCGTGCTTTGAAGATTATTTTCCCGGACCTACACTATGGCTCTATTCCCATAGATTTTAGATCGATCTATCCCCGCGGGGAGTCTCACTAGATTACTTTCAGATAATTTAAATGTCCGTCCCGCCTACTACAAGCTGTAAGGGGGTAATTAACTTTCGTGTCCGCCCGGCTGACAGCTATTTAGCGTGAACCCCCGGGGAGTTAGGTCGATCTAAAGTAGGTCGACCTAATCTATGGAAATGGAGTGTATGATGAAACCCTGAACCTGGCAAATATGTGTACTTTAGATAAACGAAGAGAATATCTGTGCAAAACTTTCTTTTACAAAATAACTGAATCTTCTGACAAACTGAATCACATCTTTATTGAGCAATCCAATCGTCTTTTAAAACCAAACAATAGTAACAAATTGCCAAAATTTAAGACCGACAGATTCCGATGCTCTTTTATTCCATATGCACTTTTAAATTTCCAATAGTATTATGTTGTCTTTTATCCTAAGTACAATAATTTTAAGTTCAATTAGCAGTCTTTTAACTCAGTTTTATTCAAGCAAATATTCACTTTATTTTCATTATAATTTTCTTAACACTATGTACAACTTCAACCCACTGGGTTGCAATCTTAATAAATTATTATTATTATTATTTTGATTTGCTTTTTTAGACCTTAAGGTTATGAGCAACTGCCAGTATGATGTCCTGAAGAAGAGTTTTTTTACATGGAAGAGGAACTCCATGGCTCCCCACCAAAATACGAGAAACTTTTCTTGAGGGTCCAAAGCGGGGACGAGTTGGATAGTGAGAGACTTCCTGACTTTCGAGTGCTGCTTACAGGATATATTCAGTGAACTCATCTTGCCAATGTGACAAAGCATAATCTGCTGACTTCAAACCATCTAGCACTGGCATGTATGCTATAATGCAGATAGATTGGAAATCAAGGCGGTCTTTCCTCCCAAACCTAAGTCATATGCCTGATATTGAGAATAAACCATTTTGGTCCAGCATTTACTTCTTAAAACTAACTGACATCAAATGTATTATGGAATATGGTACTGGTGGCATATTGTGACTTCAACTTGATTTTAAACCAGTGTGTTGTCAGATTTTGTAAGATCACCAGTTGCAGTTTTGTGACTTTGTTTCAGCATAAAATTCTGTATTTGGCAAATGGCTGTATGTCATTTCTTTTAAGACCTACAAAAATGGTTTGAGTGAACACTGGTGCCTGTATTCAATTCTCCACTCAGCCATTATTTAGAATTCATGCAGGGAAGCCATGCCTGTATTTTTTAAAGAAATATTTATACCTTTCTATTTATTCCTTGCACGTCTTGGAAAATATGTGTGAATATCTTACCGATGAAACAATTTATGTTTGTGTAAGTCGGTTAGCCCTTTCTTATGACACATCCCTTTGCATGGATATTTTTGTGTCAGCTCACATGAGTCAATACACTGACAGAGAGAGGAGAATCTGTTGATCTGCAATCCTCATGGGTCTGCATGTACATCAGACTCATAACATGATAGCCCGGCTGTTAATAAGTCTCTCTCAAAAATGTTACCATACTATAATGTGTACTGCACAATGTGAACGTTTGTGAATGCTTGAATGGCAGGCTTATTTATGAAGAGAGCATTAATAAGTATGAAAATAATTATGCATTCTAGCTTACAAAATCTGTGTATGTCTTATTCATTACATGTGACAGGTAATAATAAAGATGATTTGGCTAAAATTCCAAACTTATGTAGCAAACTTTGTTTATTCTTGTATTTTTGCCAAAATAAAAATAAAGGATGTTTCAATATTTAAACTTTTATTTCATTCATAATCTCTACCCAGTTAATGCTACATTGATACTGCAGCTTATGCTTTGTACATAACAATATGTTAATAATAATAACAGTTTGATAGTACATGTTAATTTACTAAAGGGCTAGTTCTTAGAAAAACATGTTCGACATTAAAATATATTCTAAAAAAAATTTTCAAGAATTGCATTAGAATTGAATCTTTGGATGTATTTGGCAAAATTATAAAATTATTCAAGGGTTGACAATGCCCAGAAAATAAAGGCCTTGAGGCTCTCGCTGATCTCAGTCTTGTCACTTTATACATGTACATTATAATATAAAACTGTTCAATCGGTTTTGGTAAAAGGTGGTGGATCATGTGGTCACATGGTTTCAAAGAACTGATGTAAAAAAATCACACTAATATTCCCCACTTGGAATTAGAATTTTGACTAGCTAATTTACTACAGTATAGTGCTAAACCGTACCAAATGGCACTGTTCGCTCTCTAAAATACCAAAAATTTTAAGCAGGCCCAGAACCCCACGCCAACTAGAGGGGGGGGGGCGGCTTTGCATCCGCGGACCCCTCCCCCCTTCAAATAATCCTGGATCCGCCCCTGTTATACTGCTAAAATTACTAACATACCTGATCTCTCCACTCGTGCATGAAGGGGAGGGGTGTATCACTCAATTCCTCCTCTGAAAGGCTAAAAAATTCATTCCTTATAATCATATTCATTGACAACCCAGCGGGCAAATCAACATTGAATCAATGTTGAATCAACGTTGATGATCAACGTTAAAACTATGTTGATATGACGTTGACTATGAAAGTTAACTCAACGTTGAACCATCAAGGTTGAATCAACCTTGAGGTCTCAATGTTGAATCGGTCGACGTTGAAACTATGTTGATCTGACGTTGACTATGAAAGTTGAATCAACGTTGAACCATCAAGGTTGAATCAACCTTGAGGTATCAATGTTGAATCAACCTTAACGGTCAACGTTGAAACTATGTTGATATGACGTTGACTATGAAAGTTGACTCAACGTTGAACCATCAAGGTTGAATCAACCTTGAGGTATCAATGTTGAATCAACATTGACAGTCAACATTGAAACTATGTTGACATGACGTTGACTATGAAAGTTGAATCTACGTTGAACCATCAAGGTTGAATCAACCTTGAACCATCAAGGTTGAAACAACCTTGAGGTATCAATGCTGAATCAACATTGATACCTCAATGTTGAATCAATGTTGAAATAAAGTTGAATTTGCAAATTGAATTAACGTTGATATATCAATTAGGCTATCAAGATATAATATTTGATTGAAATTTGCCTGATGGCTGAAGGTGTTCTCCAAGATATCAAGCATTTCTTGAAATAAAAAGACTCAGATCTGAAAAGGGGGGGAAATTAGGAAAATTACCTACAAAAAAAGGTAATTTCGGAAGAAAAGGGGGGGGTCCAGACCCCGGGACCGGCCCCTGTATCCACCTATGGGTTGTCAGATTCTTTTTAAACTTCCCAGTTTGATGCTCAGTGTTACGGACCAAAACAGCCCAAACATAAAAAAAACAAACAACAACTAACTTAACTATGAATATAATATATTACAAACAATGAACATACACTACATAAACTAACTACATGTAATACTATCATGTTGCATTAACTTTAACATTTGTCAAATACAGTTAAATTCTAACAGATTCGTAGACAGTTAAGTTTTGAAGACGCAATGTCAAAGTTTTACGAGTCCTTTTCTGTTAAACGTTCCTCCTGATAGTGTGTTGTTTTGAAGACGCAATGTCACCGTTTTCCATGTCCTTATCTGTTGAACGATCCTCCTGATAGTGTGGGGTTTTGAAGACGCAATGTCACCGTTTTCCATGTCCTTATCTGTTGAACGATCCTCCTGATAGTGTGGCCTCACAAAGTACTGTTAATAAAGTACAGTTTTTGTACTGTAAAAGTGTTACACACCGTCCACACTCACGTGTTGCATCAGTTCATGTTATCCGGAGTCTCGCACTTAATAACAGTCCCGCACTTCATTTACATTATACAAGTATGCAGGCACATACGGTAATTACTCATAAAAATTAAACAACAAATTAGCTTTACTAAAATAATTATAACGTCACATCAGGTAGTTAAGATAATTTTAAGAATACAAAAACAAAGGGTCACCAGTCTAATTTTTTTCTCACAGCTAACTTAAATTTCCAGAAAAAC